AAATTGAAGATATTTCAAAATTCGAGGATAATAATCCATACGGTGTTAATGTATTCGGATACAACGGCGAAGTCTATCCACTTAGAATAAGTAATAGTGAAAATAAGATAATTAATTTAATGATGATTTCTGAAGGAAGTAAAAACCACTATTGCTGGATAAGAAATATTTCTAGGCTCGTAAGCAGACAGGTCGATAATCACCAACATTATCGATTCATTTGCGAGAGATGCCTCAATTCATTCAAATCTCAAGAATCTTTGGATAAGCATTCAGAGTACTGTAAAAACGAAGATGCTATAAAAATGAGTTTGCCTAAAAGGGGAACAACTCTTAAATTCAAGAATTATAACCATTCTATGAGRGTTCCATTCGTAATATACGCCGACTTCGAATGTTTCACCAAAAGATTAGCATCTTGCCAGCCAGATCCAACTAATTCGTATACTGAGAAGTTTCAATATCATAAACCTTCTGGATTCTGTTATTATCTAAAAACCGTGAATGATGTKTATGAGCCGAAAATGGTTTCATATACTTGTAAAAAAGATGAAGACGTTGGACAGAAATTCGTAAATTCAATCGAAAAAACAGTCAAAAAACTATATTCAAATATTTGGTATAAAAAAGTTAAAATGACAACCGCGGATAGAGAAAATTACAAAAACTCAAAATATTGCCATATTTGCGAAGGCGAGCTAAAAGAAGATAAAGTTTTAGATCACTGCCATTTAACAGGAAAGTATCGCGGAGCAGCTCATAATATATGTAATCTGAACTATAGAATTCCAAAGCACATACCAGTTATATTCCATAATCTTGCCGGTTACGATGCTCATCTATTCATAAAAAATCTAGGAGTATCTGATGGACCTATAAACTGTATTCCGAATAACGAAGAGAAATATATYTCATTCAATAAAATAATAAAAATCGGTGAATTCGMAAAAGACGGCAAAACCTTTGAAATTAAAAGAGAAATCAGATTCATYGACTCTTTCAAATTCATGGCGGCTGGGCTAGACAAGCTCGTTGGAAATCTAAAACCTGAGAATTTCAAAAATATGAAGTGGATGTATGACGATATTGAATTATTAATCAGAAAAGGTGTATTCCCCTACGACTATTTCGATTCAGAAGATAAGCTAAAAGATGAATGCTTGCCKCCTAAAGAAGAATTTTACAGTAAATTAAATAACAAACATATTTCAGATTCCGATTACGAGCACGCGCAGAAAGTCTGGCGTGAATTTGAAATAAAAAATATGAAAGAATATCATGATCTATATCTCGATTGCGACGTTCTATTGCTAGCCGACGTATTTGAAACTTTCAGAGACGTTTGTCTTAAGAACTACAAATTAGATCCCGTCTGGTACTATACTGCGCCTGGGCTGGCCTGGGATGCATTGTTGAAATTAACAAAAATAGAATTAGAATTATTATNTCGAAGCCTAACTTTAAAAGAAGAACAATATTCTCTGAGAATTTAATAGCGGTTCATATGGGGAAAACCCATCTTAAATTTAATAAGCCTATTTACGTGGGCATGTCTATTCTTGATATTTCTAAGTCGTTGATGTACGATTTTCATTACAACTACATAAAACTTAAATATGGAAATAGAGCTGAATTATGTTTCACGGATACGGATAGCCTTCTATACGAGATAAAAACCGATGACTTTTATAAAGATATTTATCCTGATCTAGAAGCAAAATTCGATACTTCGGCTTATGGTAATCACCCAGTTATTGATAAAAAACTTAATAAAAAGGTTATTGGTCTTATGAAAGATGAGACGTCAGGAAAAGAGGTTATCGAATTCGTAGGGTTGAGAGCGAAGTTATATTCTTATAAAACTGATGAATATGTCGAAAAGAAATGCAAGGGGATTAAAAAGTCGGTCGTAAAAGATACTATTTCTTTTGAAGATTATAAAGATTGTCTATTTACTGGAAAATCTCAAATGAGAAAGATGAACGTTCTTAGGTCGGAAGGACATCAGATTTACGCCGAGACTATTAATATGGTGGCTTTATCTAATTTAGACGATAAGAGAATCATATTAGAGGATAAGGTCCACACTAGAGCGATTGGCTATTGTGAATAAAAAAGTTGCTGTATATAATGGAAACTAAAGATAAGAAGTGCTCTATGTGTCGAACCTATAGATATTCAAAGGATTTTATAAAAAATGGTAGAATTCTAAAGACGTGTTCTAAATGTCGCAAATATTCAAAAAAAATTAGAGTTAGAAATTATTGTGAGCATAATATTAGTAAGGGATATTGTCTAGAGTGTGGAGGATCTAGATTATGCTCTCATAATAAATTTAAGCCCAACTGTCGTATATGTTCCGATCCGCTTTATGTTACTATAAGATGCTGGATTTTTAGTTCTAGACAGTCTGATCGAAAGTATAACCGATACGATCCAGACCGATTTATAGATAAGTGCTTCTTAGAAGGATTAATTGAAGATAGCGCAGGAGTCTGCCATTACTGTGAAAAAAAAATTCAATATCTGGAATATAATGATGATTTAGCCTCTATAGAACGCCTAGATAATAAGGTTGGACACGTAAAATCTAATTGTGTGATTGCTTGTCGCCAATGTAATTTTAAACGTCAGAAGGTATAAACTCTAAATTTATAAAATCCATACAAACGCTGTAGGTTACGTCGCATTTTCTGGAGGTAGTTGAGCATCCAAAACTACCTGTAATTCTTCTCTAACGAAATTCCGTTTCGGAGCGCCTTCTGATAGATAATATAAAACCGGTTGATTCTCCGCAAAAACAGTTTTATCTATATTAAAAGTATCCAAAGACCAATTAGGATCWGTAGCTCTCTGGCTATTGCCGCCCTCATATTCACCAGGCTGATATAAATACCTAACTGTTACGCTAGCCGGCAATCTTTCTTCTTTTAATCCAACGGGTCTTTTATATGTTATGTGTTTTTCATCAACATTATTTAATTTAATAGCTTCTAAAGGGGTTTTACCTGTAATTCTTTTAACGCCGCTGTTAATAGATTTTATAACCGCGGGCAATCTTTTTACCCATTCGCGATTCCTATCATCACTTATCATTTCTTTGGCATATTGGTAGCTGAAAAGTTTTTCGGCAATAGTTTTATTAGCACGNGATCTTATCACTAAATCAGCTGAGTTTTGTTTACAGGTCTCTGGTGTGGCTGTGCGAAAATACTTGTGTAGTTAGACAAGTTTCCTAAAAAAACTATATCAACATAAGTTTTATCGCAACAATCCTTAATTTGTGATAATGTTTTCTAGTAAAATCATGCAAAGTTATCTTAGTAAATAATTTTTTTTGCACTGCAAACTACGCGAAAACACAGTTGACTGTCGACATTTTAGACAAACAAATCACGTCAGGACACAAGGCTCATTTGACTTTAAATAAGTTTATTAATCCATTACCTAGATACAGTATTACAGTTGTATTAAAGTTTATAGTGTTCTAATATCCTGATGCTCTACCTTCTCTTTCAATTACTGCCGGAACAACTTTCTTAAGGTGATCTATGTATTTTATACACTTGCTCCTGTTAACTCGGCTCTTCCAGAAGTCAGAAATGCCCTGAACTAGCTCTTCTTTGGTTTTTGGCTTCACAGTTTTTCGAAGAAATGATTTTAGCTCATGCCATAAGTTCTCTATTGGATTCAAATCGGGTGATTCGGCAGGGGTAGGCCAGTAATTGATGTTGGAAGTCTTGATGAATTCCATTGCATGCTTACCTGTAGAAAAAACATAAAAGGGACATAAATAACGAACTCAGAAAGTAAATTAAAGACATACATGTACAGTAGCGACGTTGTTATAAGCTTACTTTTGTGCTTTGGATCGTTATCTTGTTGAAATCGATGTCCATCCGGGTAAGTATTCTGTAGGAATGGCAGGAGGGTATTCTGTAAAATCTCAGTAACGTAAAATCCTTTCTTCATGATTCCTGTGAACATCAAGATGTCTGTAGCTCCACGCTTCGATATCCCTGCCCACACATGGACTTTGTAGGGGTGTTTGACAGTTGGCTTCATCTTGGCTGGTTCTCCGATCTTTCTAAAGCATAACTTGCCATGTTTCTCCATCCATACACTCGATTCGTCAGTAAACACAACATTTTCAAACTTATCTTTATCAGCATTAACACGTTGAGCGAATTCAAGTCTCTCCACTCGATTCTTTTCTTTTACTTGTTGGCAGTATTTTGGTCCAGTCTTGACCCATCCAAGCGACCTTCTTCCTCGTTTTATCGTTGAAACACCGAATCGTTTTCCAAACTGATCGTATAACAGGCGCTGAAGATCTAAAAAATGCGTCATTAGTTTAGTGATTGTATAAAAAATGATATCTCTGAATATCATATCTTACCAACAGATGTAAGCTCATCGTTTCCACGCATTTCCTTATCGATAAAATCCAAGTATTCCAGTGTCATGCTTCTTCTACGCCCGGACCGTTGCTTATCATTCAGAGTTCCCGTTACTTGGTAACGCTTGATAATGGCACAGACAGTTTGTCGAGTAATGGAAATTCCTTCTGATTTTAGTTGAGACAATATTTGGTTTTGTCTTTTACCCATTTCACGAAGTGTTATTATTCGACGTTTGGTGTAATAAGATGTTGACGGCATTGTTGACGGAGTTTGAGATTCGATTTGATTAAGATTCGATTAGCGTACTATAATAATATGGTGGTATCTCTAGCAAGACTACAATTAAAGGACACTATAGAAACTGCGGTTTCGCAATGCGTCATTTTGACCATCGTACGATGATTGGCGGAAATAACATGCAAATTAATTGCCTAGCGTCATTTTACCGTACAATGATTGGCGCAAATAACATGCAAATTAATTGCCTAGCGTCGTTTTGACCATCGTACGATGATTGGCGGAAATAACATGCAAATTAATTGCTTAGCGTCATTTTGTTGTGAACCGATCATAATAAGCCTTTTGTTTTAATACGCTAATTAGGTTTTTTCGATCCGCCCAGCCTTATAAAAGGCGAGTCATTTCAATTATAGTTTATTATCAACTTTAATTGAGAGATCTCTAGTAGTTTATCCTTTGATTCTTAATAACTCGTTCACAATTAGCGCATACAAAAATGACTCGAAGAACAGCTTCAAAAACTCCAAAGTATGGCTTGTTTTATTTCAAGTCAGATCGCACAACCAGTATTGTGAGATTCAAAAATGTTGTCGGAGGTGACACTGCCATTGGCAGCATTGTTAAAGTAAATTACGACGGAGACTTCATCGAAGCAGAGATAATCGGAGCCCATGGTAAGTACCTTGATTGAGTTATATGTTTAATTTGATCAAGAGTGATATGTTGATTTTCTTCCAGGTGAACAAATCATTAAAACTAATCTATTTTTTACTTGTAGATAGTGAGAGCAATCTTCGCCAACAACAAGCAGATTTCATCAAAGCACCAGAAAACGCCCATCGATTCACTGATAAACCGACATGTTCAGGCCAAACGAAGAGAAAAATAAGCTCCTCTGCCAAAGCAAAAGAAAATACAGCCGAACCGACAATGAAAAAGAAGAAGAAGAAGTGTAGAGAAGAGGTAATTTAGATTACTAGATTGTATATTCTATGATGAATGAAATACAGCATACAGTAATGTTTCCCGAGTCCATAAAGCTTACTATCATTATAATTACAATGCTTACAACAATTGCAATGATCATGTCGGAGTTGTTAAAATGTCGAACAAAATACTTATTGTTACGGTAATTCTTTGCTTATTTTTAGGCTACCGTGATTTGCCGTATACAGGCGTTAACGACAGGAAGTAAAGAAACACCATCCAATGTAGAACCGCCGCAATCACCAGTATTTAATCCAGTACCGCCGCCAACATTACCTAATGCAGTTCCTCCGCCAACACCGATGCCTATTCCAGTACCGCCACCAACACCAGTATCTATTCCTGTACCGCCGCCAACATCAGTCTCTACTCCAGTACCGCGGCCAACATCAGTCTCTACTCCAGTACTGCCGCCAACATCAGTCTCTACTCCAGTACCGCCGCCGCCAACATCAGTGTCTACGCCAGTACCGCC